ATGTCTTCAAATGACAGTGAAGGATGTTGTTTCTCCAAGTGGATCATCTAAATAATTGCACCTTCTAATTGTCAATCATCCTCCTACGTGCTCGTCCCCATTTTCCCTTATTGGTGGTGAGTCTGACGTGGTGGAAAACTTGCTAAACTTCTTTTAGAAAGTGAGCTTGTATGAGCGACGTAAACCGCAACTTTTAAACAGAGCGTGCACGAGGAGAAACGGGCTTGTGCACGCTCTCGCACACGTTTAATAGGCGTTCCCTCTCGGGAGCGGGCACTAGAGACTGACACGGAAGTGGATTTTCACTCCTGTCCCGTCCCACTCCCACAGAAAAAAATGGTGTCCCGTCCTGATCCCGGGCCAGAGTTGAAATCTAAATCCTGTCCCGTCCCACTCCTGGTGAAATTACTCCCACTCCCATTCAGAATGATTCCCGCTCCTGCACCACTCCCATTCTTGTTGTCTCCAATAAGATTTCTGCCAATACATTGAATCTGAATTTCTATGAAGGGTCAGTTTAGTTCCTGTTTCTAACTGTCGGTTCCTCCATTGTTGTTTTTGAGCGCAGGTGAAAAACTCAGAGCGGAAGCACTGTTGGTTTTTGGGTCGTGTAGTTTTTTTGACTCGCATTATAGTGTAGGCTTCAAGGAAAAAAACTACAAAATGGCGGCGCTAGTACTGGATTTTTTTCTTTCCATTTTATTTTATTTTTTGGCATCGATCCTAGTTTTTTTTTTTTGTTACTATTGGTTTGCTCCCGCTCCCGTCTGCTCCCGTTAATCTTTAATCCTGTACCGCCCCAATCACGTGATCGTTACTAATACTGACTCCCATCCCACAGGAATCCCACGGGAATCCCGTGACCCGTGGGATTCCCGAAAAAATGTCAGTCTAGCTGTCTAGCTGGTACAGAGTTGTGCATGTGCAGTTTTCCTTTAAAGTGGAGAGGTATTTTCAAAAATTAAAGAAAATCCTCCGTTATACCTTTAATTTATATGAATCTTTGAATTAGTCTCATGTGTTTGTGTGTCTGGTTAATAGACTAAGAGCCAGAATGTCTAAAAGATGAAAGAGAGACATAAGAGACTTCTTTAAAAGTCAAAGAATTGTGTAACATCCCTCCTAAAACACTGGTTCCATAAAGCAGCAGATCCAATTCAAGACCCTCCCCTGCATTATAAACCTCTAAATAACATTATGTATAATATTTGTTTTATTACAAATGCTGATAAATCAAATGTATTATTGCTATATATCATTATTATTACCAAAAATGAAAAAAAAAAA